TCTCCCTCCTCCTCCTCCTCCTCCCTCCCTCCTCCTCTCCTCCTCCTCCTCCTCCTCCTCTCCTCCTCCTCCTCCTCCTCCTCCTCCTCCTCCTCCTCCTCCTCCCTCCAACTTATGGTGGTGGTGGTGGTGGAAAACAGGCCCATCAACTCAGGGTGAGACGTGCCGAGCCGTCAGCAACGGCACGATGTCTGACTATTTCTGGGCGGTGCCCTCGTAGCGTATGCGGATAGGGTGCTGGCGTGCTGAACGTTACGCATCTGTTTGGCACGTCCGCTGGCCCCGCGGAAAGGGCTAGACCGACAGCACACGCAAACCTCTCATCTGCAAGAGTCTCAGTCGGGCCTCGAGCACGGACCAAGACGGTCCCTGATGGCCTCCAGGAGGGCTCCAGATGCCTCCAGTATGGTCAAAAAGGGCCAGACTATCATCCAACATGGCCCCAATACGGTGTTCGACGATTGTTGGGGGGCATCAAATGAGCAGTTCTGGGGCCGTCGGGTCCGACCAATAGGTAACAAACACAAGACAAGCATACGCGTGTGTATGTATATATATATATACATACATACATACCTACGCACATACATACATACATACATACATACATACATACATACATACATACATACATACACACATACATACATACATACATACATACATACATACATACATACATACATACAAACAAACATTCATACATGTACATTATACATATATATTCACATATATATATATATATTCACACACATATATATGTAGATAAAACTATGTGAATGTATATGTATATGAATATATACATATATATAGATGTACGTTTATAAATACATATACATATACATATATATATATATATGCATATACATATATATATATGTATGATCGCCCCGCCCCCCCCCCCCCCCAACACCCCCAAACGGCGGAGTGAGGGGGGGGGCGGTGGTTCCCCCCTCACCGTCCTTCTCTTCTTCCTCCTGCTCCTCTTCATCCTCATGGTTCCTCCTCTCCCCCATGGGGAACATCCTCCTCATCGTCATTCTCTTCCGTGCCAACAAAGCCACACAACGAACCAGAACCAGAACCACAACCAGAACCAACGCCAGAACAACCGAAACCAGAACCAGAACCATAACTAAAAGAACCAACACCAGAACCAGAAGCAGAACCGTCACCAATGATCGTTTGTTCCTCGTCCTCCCTCTCCTCCCTCCTTGCGGCTTCAGCGAAAAAGCGAACATACACATTGTTCCCTTGAACCGGGAGCGCCAAACACTGTGTATGCTTGGTTGTGTTTGGTCTGTTGGGTCAGAGGAGCAAGGAAACACTGTGTATGTTTGTTTCGTTGTGTGGCTTGCAAGCCCCAGTGCTCGCAGGGGCCTCTTTCCAAGCAACCACTGGCGCTGTCAAAATCCCCCCCCCCCCCTCAACAAAATTATCCCGGCAAAGCAACCGAACAGCGATGTGTAGGAGCAAATCTGGAAGCATTCCCCTTAAGATTCAAATGAGAATCCAGTTGTAGAATTCTGCTGTTCTCGCAGTCGCAGTCGCATTCACGATGACAGTCGCAGCGGCAACGGCGGTCACAATCACAGCCTCAGCCTCAGCCTGCCTCAGCATCAGCGTGCCTCAGCCTCAGCCTCAGCCTGCCTCATTCTCAGCCTCAGCCTGCTTCAGCCTCAGCCTCAGTCTGCCTTCAGACTCGGCCTCAGCCTCAGCCTGCATCAGCCTCACCCTGCCTCAGCCTCGGCCTCGGCCTCAGCCGGCCTCAGCCTCAGCCTGCCTCAGCATCAGCCTCAGCCTGCCTCAGCATCAGCCTCAGCCCGCTGCAGCCTCAGCCTAAGTCTGCCTTCAGCCTCGGCCTCAGCCTCAGCCTGCCTCAGCCTCAGCCTGCATCAGCCTCGGCCTCAGCCTGCCTCAGCATCAGCCTGCCTCAGCCTCAGCCTCAGCCTGCCTCAGCCTCAGCCTCAGCCTGCTTCAGCCTCAGCCCCAGTCTGCCTTCAGCCTCGGCCTGCCTCAGCCCGCCTCAGCCTCAGCCTGCATCAGCCTGAGCCTCAGCCTCAGCCTGCCTCAGCATCAGCCTGCTTCAGCCTCAGCCTCAGCATCCGCCTCAGCCTGCTTCAGCCTCAGCCTCAATCTGCCTTCAGCATCGGCCTCAGCCTGCCTCAGCCTCAGCCTGCCTCAGCCTCAGCCTCAGCCTGCCTCAGCATTCAATCACGTGCTCGACGAGCGTTTGCGGAGGACCTCTCAATGCAGCACGCTGAGGAGCAGCGCTGTTCCCTGCCGCAGGCTGAGGAGCACCGCTGTTCAATGCAGCAGGGTCAGGAGCACCGCCATCAGACCGAGAACTATCAGCATGTCCTGGCATTAAGGTGCGCAGTAGGCGCTGCGCAGTTCCTTTGAAAGGAAATATTCGAAAGCAGGGCTGTAGCCAAGAAGGCTACGGGGACGATGATGATGATGAAGATGATGAGTCTTGGAAGTCTGGGAACTGGAAGAGCACGCAGTGGCGTACAGTTGGCTCCGGGCATTCAAAATGTGGCCCGGGAGTGGAATTCTGGGAACTCGAAGACCACGAAGTGGCCTACAGTTGGCTCCGGGCACCCAAAATGTGGCCCGGAAGTCCAAGAACACGAAGTGGCCTACAGTTGGCTCCGGGCATCCAAAATGTGGCCCGGGAGTGGAGTTCTGGGAAGTCGAAGAGCACAAAGTGGACTACAGTTGGCTCCGGGCATCCAAAATGTACGCCGGGAATGGAGTTCTGGGAACTCGAAGACCACGAAATGGCCTACAGTTGGCTCCGGGCATCCAAAATGTACGCCGGGAATGGAGTTCTAGCAGCGCCAAGAGCGATTTTGCGAGGATTTCCCAAGCGATTTGGGTTTCGACGGCAGCCGCCCCGGGTCCCGCCCCGACCCCCCTGAGGAGTCATGATGCTCTCTTTTGAGCCTACTAGAAACCCATCGGTCTTCGCTGTTAAATAAAAAACACCTGCACAGTGTTTCCTTGAACCGAGAGCGCCAAACACTGTGCATGTTTGGTTTGCGTTGTTGCTTGTCTGGGTCAGAGGAGCAAGGAAACACTGTGTATGTGTGTTTTCTTTGGTTTTTTGTTGGGGGGGGGTGAGAACCTCAGTGCTCGCAGAGGCCTCTCTCCCAGCAAACACAGGCGCTGTCAAAACCCTCAACAAAACAAAAAACATACACAGTGATTCCTTGCCCTTCACACAAAAGTAACAAAAAACAGCCAAACACAGTGTTTCCTTCCTCCGAGAGCGCCAAACACTGTGTATGGTTGTTTGTTGTATTGTTTTTGGTGTCAGAGGAGCAAGGACACTCTGTGTATGTGTGTCTGTGTTTTTGGGATCTGCAAGCCCCAATGCTCGCAGAGGCCACTCTCCCAGCAAGCACTGGCGCTGTCAAAACCAAAAACCAAACATACACATTGTTTGGCGCTCTCGGAGCAAGGAAACATTGTGTATGGTTGCTTTGTTGGTTGTTGTTAGTCTGAGGGGCATGGCACCACTCTGTATGTTTGGGGTGTTTGTTGTTTGCATTATGGGTTTTGAAAGCGCCAGTGTTTGCTGGGAGAGAGGCCTCTGCGAGCATTGAGGCTTTCAGAACAAACACAAAAACGAAAAACCATACATAGTGTGTCTTTGCTCCTCTGACCAAAAAAGAAAACCGTAAACCATAAAACAACATACACAGTGGTTGGCGCTCTCGGAGCAAGGACACACCGTATATGCTTGTTTGTTGTTTTTGTTGTGTGAATTTTGACAGCACCAGTGATTGTTGGGAGAAAGGCCCCTGCGAGCATTGGTGCTTTCAAAACCAAAAAACAAAACAATACATATACACTGTGTTTCCTTGCTCCCCCCAAACTAACAAAAAAACCTTCACATTGTGTGTGGCGTTCTCGGTTCAAGGATACATTGTGTATGTTTGGTGTTTGCTGAAGTCGCAAAGAGGGAGGAGAGGGAGGAGGAGGGACAAACGATCATTGGTTACGGATCTGCTTCTGGTTCTGGTGTTGGTTGTTCTAGTTATGGTTCTGGTTATGGTTTCTGGCGTTGGTTCTGGTTGTGATTCTGGTTCTGGTTCGGTTTGTGGTGGTGTTGGCTTTGGGGGTGCTGGGGGGGGCGACCACACATCTATATATACATATATATATATAGATAGATAGATATGTGTGTACACATATACAAGCATATATATATATATACATATATATATATATATATATTATAGGTATGTGGTCTGGGTGTTGCAGTTTCGGGCGCAGTGGCGTGTGAGACGGCCCAACGGGCCTTCTGAGCCAGCTCACGACGGTCCAACTAGTCCTTAGGAGGAAGCCCGAACAGCGGCCCGAAGACGGCCCAAGGTGATCCCAAGACTGCCCAAGAGAGCCCCGAGCTCACTTCTTGAAGACGGCCCAGGGAGCCCCCCAAGCCAGACCCCGAAGGCACTAAACAGCCCAAGAGCGCTCCAATACGACCCCAGAGAGCTCCATTATGGTACAAGAAGGACCAAGCAATCTCACAAGAAGGTCCAAACGGCTATACAAGAAAACTCAAACAGCCCCAGCGCTCCCCGAGTAGGTTCCCCAACAATTTGGGGAGCACGCAATACACTAGCATTGCCACACTTCCGCTCTTCATGTTCGACACGACCGCTTCCAAAAGGCAGGCGGCGATAACTCGCCACAGGCGTCTGCGATATAATTATGAGGGGAGGGTGCGAGCGCACCTGCAGTCCAATCGTTATAATTCATAATGCCACTCTGTGCCTGGGTGCTGGGTGGAGCGGGGAAAAACCAGCGTTTCAGGCGGGCCTGCCCCACTACGGGGGTGGGCGGAAAAGAGGGATTGCGCAGCGCTGCTGCATCCTGCTCTGACGCTCCGAATGCGCACCATAAAGCTTCTACCCGTGCGAACACATGAGGTAGAACGAACAGGAAGCAGAAAGGAGGGGCGCACTTTCCGACACGTGGCCCATGTATCATTCCCCGGCGGAGGCGAACGAACTTGTGCTATTCCCAGATGGAAGGTCCTGGAGGACCTTACCATCTGCACTACTCCCCGATGGAAGGTCTGCCATTGTCGGTGAGTCTCGTGATCTTCCTGATTCGGCTTGGTGATACACTACGCGTGTGGTGGCCATCCTGATCCGTTCATGGATCTCCTCCGACCTGATCTTCAACCCAAGCTCGGACTCCATCTTGACATTGAAAGTAACACCGATAGTGTTGAAGATGGCGGGGATAGCTGCGAAGCGCTCAATATTGTTCTCGTGGTCTCCCATGCTGCGCAAGATCTGCGACAAGACATGGCGATTCACATCCACAAAATTCTTCGATGGGAACAGGAAGTTGTCTTCAGCGATGATCGGCAGCACGGGCAAGCCACGCTCCTTCGCTGCAACGATAGTTCGAACGCACGGCTCCGCAACAAGGGCACCGTTGGTGCAGATGAAAAGGACATAGGTTACCGCATCCGGCAGCGACATGCTGGCGGGGATGATTAGAGGCGCGTCCGTGGGCTCGAGCATGAAGCGGGGCGCCAGCATCCGAACGACCACCATTGCGGCTGCCATCGCCTCCCAGTTGCTCGTGTCCAAAATCACCGCAGTCCTCACCACGGTTTGGGCAGTGGCGGTTGTCGCCACCTGGTGGGAAGCCGCCATGCCGACGATCTCGCTGGCCACGTTCGCGATGGTGGCGTCGTTCACCTCCGCCTGCAGGACAGGGATGCCCTGGAGGGTGCTGAGCCAGAACATGCCCTCCTGCGGGGAACAGAAAAAAAACAGCTGCCGTAGAACTGCCGCCTCAAAGCCACAACAAATCAGCTCAATATTCGGGCCTCCCGGGCATCACCTGGAGGCACTCGGCCGGCCCGAACGCTGTCCAGACCCATTTTCTGACCCTGATCCTGCACATCGTCGATCGAGATGCCCTGGCTTGTGAGGATGCTGAGGTCCGAGATCATCTTCGAGTCCGCTGCCCGGCGCATTTCCTCAAGTCTGAAGCTCGGCGATCGCCATCTGCTTCCGTCGGAATAGGCAAATGATGCGGAAGTCTCGGCGCTCGAAGCAGCCCGTAAGGAGACCCCGCTTGGAAAACGCCATCTGCTTCCTTCGGAAAATCTGGAAAACCTGGATCGAATGCCTACTGTAGAGATGTCTCCCGACGAGCCAACAGAAGTGACCCGGCTCGCTGTCTGCCGTCGGTTTGATAAAACACCACGGGAAAAAACGTGTGATACTCGAGTTGCTTCTGCATTGGAAGCCCGAGAAACAAACCGACCCCTCTCCGAAGATGCACGTACTGCGTTCCGATACGCCCTGACGAACTCGATGTCGGCAGTCTCAAAACATGGGAGCTCCACCTTCTTTGCATGCAGCGCGCATGTCTTGGCCGTGGCGATCTCTGCAAGGCACCACGGTCGCGTCAATATGTCTCTAGACCCGATCACCACAAAGGTGTCTGTCAAGTTCGCCACGATATCTAGTAGATGGTCGAGGTCAGACAAGTTGTCTGCATCCAGGAATACCTCTCGCCGCACAGCCAAGCTGCCCTGCAACTGCAACTTCAGCAACCGCGTAAATGCTCCGGCGCCTGCTTTGTGATGGCAGAGAAAATAATCGAATGGCCTTTGGCGTCTTCTGTAACCCGCCCACACGATGGCAAGGCATAGGCCAACGGGCAAGCAAAGGAGGCACACGATCACACTGACGAAAGCGATAGTTGCGAAGACTTCGGCAAACTCCGACGCTGCATAAAAGGATGCGCACATCTGCCGTCCCATCGTAGGGACAAAAGGCAGTGAAAGACGCTGCTGAACCGCTTCCCTGTGTCCTGATGTCTTTTGAATGTCGTCTCTTGCTTCAGCCATGTTGCTACAGCCGACGCGCTGCCACAAGGAACGCTAATCATGGAAGGAAGCCCCTTTTTGGCGCCAACCGCGCCCGGGTGCACGAGGAGAGCTACAGGAACAACCACGGAAGGACCGAAAGCACCTCGATCCCATTCTGAGCCGAACGTGTTCCTTATTTCAGCGTCTTGACTGCATCGTACTGACCCACCTGACTACCTACCAGACCACCCCAACCTAACCCGAATACCCGAATTTCGGGTTGGGGGGGTAAGGGTTCCATCCGTGTTTTTTCAGTGTTCCCCGACCCCCCCCCCCCACTGGAAATGGAGGGCAAATGGAGGCCTTCGGGTTTGGTTGGGGTGGTTTGGTAGGTGGTGACCACCAGGAGCCTGCGACCTACAGACCATCCCCTGGGGGCTGGGGCCCTGGGGGGGGGGGCTCCGCCTCTGGGCCGCTCTGAGTGGCCCCAGGTTTTCCCCGGGGAGCGCCACCGGGCGGCCACAAGAGAGCGGCGAGGCCTCGGCGGAGACGGTCCCGAAGTGGTCCCGAGGAGGGCCTCCCGAGCAGCCCGAGCGGCGGCAGATTCCCCCCCCCCCCCCCGAGATGCCTCCGAGATGGCACGGGAGAGCCCGAAGACGACCCCGAGGGAAGGAAGTGTGCAACCGCCAGATTGCGCCCAGTGTTCGTCGCCAGTCCCATGCTCTGACCCTGGGAGGAGCCTCTGGTGTTGCCCAAGACGGCCGCAAGGCAGGTCCACACAGGGCCACACGTGCAGCCAAGATCGCCCAAGATAGTTCCAAGACGTTCCCAAGAAGCCCCGGACATGGGTTCCAGAGTCCACCGCGCCACTCCGAGATGTCAGAAGAGTGACGCACACACATGAACACACGCACGCATGTACACACGCAAATCCTGGGACTCCTCATCTGTGTCATGATTTCTGGATGTGCGTCTTCCCCTCCACCTCCCACAGTGCTCATCATTATCCATGGAATCAACGCTCATGTGTGCCTGTGTCTATTGTTCCCTCCTGAAGGATGGCCAGATCATGCCCCGAACCTGTCCCAACATACGGCACAGCGTGAGGGCCAGGCGGCAAGGGGTGCAACGCCGTTCCGATCAACACGAAAAGGATCGACAGAGTGAAGAAGCAATCCAAGATGCACGCGTACTCCAATCGCCAAGGCCTCGAGCCGACGACGACTGCCAGGCTGGCGATCAGCAACAACTCCATGGCAATTATCTGCAACGGCGTGCGCGGGAGGATTGGCAGCAATGCCACTAGGAAGCCCCTGAGCATGCTCACGAGCGGGTACCAATACGCCTGCGGCCTGTAACGGAAGAACAAGAAACGGTACGTCTCCAAGAATGCCGTGTTACCCTCGGACATCCTGCGCGGGAGCACGAGCACCGCGCGCACGCAGAGGGCGAAGAAGACGATCGGCGCCTGCACGGCGAGCGCCGACACGGAGACCATGGTGGCGTGGTCGCTCGTCTCCCAGCACACGACGGTCGGATAGGCCTGCGCTGTCCACTGCCCACCAGGGTTCTCCACGCACTGGAGGGGGCCGACCGCCGCTGCGACCACGGAGGTGTAGGCCACCATGAAGATGGTGCCGACGCTGGCGGCGAGCGCCCTGCTGTGAGAAGAGGTCGCCAACCGACAGTGCAGACACCTGAACAGAGAGTGGGAGATGAAGACCACGACCATCAGCACGGCGATGCCCGAGATCTGCATGAAGTACTTCCAGAGGGGCGAGGTGCGGACAACACAGTTGACGTGCAGGAGGTCCGCATCGAAAAGGATAAACTGTGTGGCACGCAGAAGGGTGACCATGGGCTCAACCCAACGCACATCGTTGAAGCGGCCGATGATGCTCATCTGCTGCACCAGCGTGACGGTCAGGCTGAGCATCAGACCAACCAGCAGGAACGCGTGGCTCGGGCGCGACTTGCTGAATCTGTCCACCACCGAGTACGTTGCCAGCACGGCCAGGAGCGCCAGAACAAGGCAGCAATAAAACACTGCCTCGCTGGACCCGTCCTGCCCGCAGGGGACACAGGCACCCTCCCCGCCAATCCTGAAGCCCTCCATGCACCGACCGCAGGCGAGACCCTCCCGCCCCGCCGCGCAAGTACCGCCTGGCACGCCTCCGATGCAGGCACGGGGGTCTGGGCGGCACCGGAAAATCTGCAGGGAGCCGTTGCTGGCGAAGAAGCCGGGCGCAACCTCGACGTCTGACATGCCGTGGCAGACGAGCCCCTGCACCTCCGCGTCCCCGCAGGGCTCGCACGCGCCGGCCAGAAGCCGGCTCCCAGGGCCGCAGCCGCAGGAGGACGCGTCGCTGGCCCCCTCCTATAAGATTTGACGGAGCGTGGATCTACTGAGCCGGGGCAACACAGAGCCCGGGCCAGTCAGGCTCTGCAGGATCATGCAAGATCCTGCAGGATCCTGCACGCGAGCCCGGGTCAGTGCACCCCTGGCTCTGCAGGAGCCTGCAAGATCCAGCGTTCTGGCTGACCCCCATTTGCATTGACCCCCCGCCCCTTGGGCCCCGAACAATTCGGCCGACCCGCGCATGCCATGGGTGAGACGGCGCGTGAGATGTTCGGATCTCCCCCCTTAGGCCATCCACGGGAATCCGGAATCGTGGTAGGGTGGGCTGGAGGGGGGGGCAAGCCTCCCCACGCACACCTTGGCCCTCAGCACCCCTGCGACATAGCCAATAAAAGTAACATCCAGCAAAACGCAACATCAAATAACAACCTACATGTTCCTTTGATGTCGACGTTCCCGCCTGTGCTCCTTGAAATGGGCCTCGGGACATCAAGACGGCCAAGTTTGCTGAATATAATTAGCTACAAAGAGCCCGACACTGACACCCAAGCACAGCCCCAGCTAGCCCCAGGATGCCTTCAACCAGGCTTCGAGTCCAGACCTCCAGTGCATCAATGCCGGGCCAAAGAAGACAACAAAGAAACTCAGCCCTATTCCAACTCCTGGAGCTCATCCCACCCACCTCCTCCTCCTGCTCCGCTTTGCTCTTCGTTGGGGCGTCCGCGCACCCCAGGGTGCCACGACGACTCCCATCCCGCGGGGGTCGAAGGCACGGCGCAAGCCTCTGGCACAAATCTACGTACCACAGCCTCGCTTCCTCGAGCCCCCCCCGTGCCAGATCTACCAAAAAGCACACTGCGCCAACACTTGTTCCGCCGGCGGCCAGGCAGAACCACTGCGCTGGCGAGGAAGCGAGACGGGGCTGCCCGTCTGCTAATTGTGCCACCTTGCAGGAGGGGAGGAGAAAACGACGAAGCGACGGCCACGAGAGGCAGGAGGAGGAGGGGGAGGAGGAGGGGGAGGAGGAGGGGGAGGATGAGGAGGAGGAGGAGGAGGAGAAGGAGGAGGAGGAGGAGGAGAAGGAGGAGGAGGGGACGGAGAAGGAGAACGAGGAGAAGGAGGGGGAGGACGCGGGACGGGGCCGCTCGTACACTGCGCCCACAGGCCGTCGGAGGTCCGCGCGAATCTCTTGGATCGGCGCGGGAACCCCTGCCCCCCTCCGCCATCCCTGGGCGGTGCCCGTTGCGCTGCCCCCTCGGCGCGGTCCGCACGCCAGGAAGCGCGGGGCGTGGACAAGGGGGGGGGCCAGCTTAAAACAGATTCACAACTAGTCAAAAAATGCAAACACAAAAAAAACAATCGTCCTCAGACTATTTTTTACTGTTTTTGAATATCCCCCCTGTAGAGGGACAGGCCCGACTTAGGCCCAGCGCCGAACAACGAAATCCGCGCGGACCTCCGAAAGCTCATGCTCACTGGGTAACCACATGTGAACCCCGCCCCTGCAGGTCCGTTCTCGGCGAAGGCGTCCTGGGATTCGGAGTTCGAGAGATGCCTGCCGGCAAGCCGGGGCGTCCGATACCCCAGCGTCGATTGGACCCGCAGGGCTAGGGTTCGCAGGAGGTTGCAGAGTCATGTCGCTGTTTGGGCTCCGACTTTCCCGGGGTTATCTGAGTAGGCGAGCGCGTTCCACTACTCGCACAGTAACTACTCGCAAATGGCTGGGATCCCCCTCGGCGGATCTACGATGAATCCCACCAGCCCTTTAGGGCGTAGGTGGTCTAGGGAGTTTCCTCTGCCAACCCCCTTCTTCCCCTTCGGGGAGGGGTTTACCCCTCCCCTTACCCCTCCCCACTGACCTGGACGGGGCCGGTCGCGAGGTGTCAGAGCGTCCAAGATGGCCCAAGACAGCTCCAAGAGCGAACAGGCGAGAAAACACAAAACATTGATTTTACCTAGGTTTTGGAAGGATTTTGGCATCTTGGGGGGGCCCAAGAGGCGACTCGAGGCACTCTGGAGGGGCGGGGCTAATAAGCAACCCCCCCTTCTTTGATAGATCTCCTCCAAGATGGCCCAAAGAGCGCCCCGAAGGCTCCCAAGAGCGCCCCAAGAGCGCCTCAAGAGGGCCCCAAGAGACCCCAAGAGGCCCCCAAGAAGCCTCCAAGACGTTGCCAAGAGACCCCCAAGAGGCCCCAAGAGAGTCCAAGATGACCCAAGACGGCTCCAAGAGCGAAAAGGCGAGAAAGCAACAAACATTGATTTTACCTAGGTTTTGGAAGGATTTTGGCCTCTTGGGGGGCCCAAGAGGCGACTCGAGGCACTCTAGAGGGGCAACGCTAATTGGGGACCCCCTCTTCTCTGATCGATCTCCTCCAAGATGGCCCCAAGAGCGCCCCGAAGGCTCCCAAGAGCGCCCCAAGAGCGCCCCGAGAGCGCCCCAAGAGGCCCCAAGAGGCGCCCAAGAGGCCTCCAAAAGGCTCCCAAGAGACCCCCAAGAGGCCCAAGAGGCTCCCAAGACGGGTCCAAGAGCGAAAAGGCGAGAAAACAAAAAACATTGATTTTACCTAGGTTTTGGAAGGATTTTGGCCTCTTGGGGGGGCCCAAGAGGCGACTCGAGGCACTCTAGAGGGGCAGCGCTAATTGGGGACCCCCCCTTCTTTGATAGATCTCCTCCAAGATGGCCCCAAGAGCGCCTCGAAGGCTCCCAAGAGCGCCCCAAGAGCGCCCCAAGAGGGCCCCAAGAGGCCCCCAAGAGGCCTCCAAGAGGCCCCCAAGAGACCCCCAAGAGGCCACAAGAGGCTCCCCGAGATACGCAAGAGGCCCCCGGGACCGCCAAGAGGCCCCAAGGACGGCCCAAGAGGCCCCCAAGTTCGCAATTGTCCTCCTCCTCCTCCTCCTCTTTTTCTTCCTCCTCCCTCCTCCCCCTCCCCCTCCTCCTCCTCCTCCTCCTTCTCCTCCTTTCCCCCTTCTCGTCCTCCTCGTCCTCGCAGTCTTCCATCTCCTCCTCCTTCTATTCCTCCTCCTCCTCCTCCTGCTCCTCCTCTTCCTCCTCCTACTCCGACGACGACGGCTCCTCCTACATCCTCCCCCTCTTGGGGTATATGGCGGCTCACCCCGCCCTTTGTTCTTCTGCATGCTCCCCCGCTTCCCTCATAACCTCCACTCCCCTGGGACTCATTTCTGGACGGGCTGGTGGGGATACGCGAAGCGTCTAGAATTACATCAAAGCAGACATGTTTTGTGTCGGACGTTTGCGAGTGGGCACTTTGCGAGTGGTGGAACGCGCTCGGTGACTGAGGCTCCGAGGTATGTGTGTGTGCGTGTGTGTGCGTGTGTGTGGGTGTGGGGGTTCTGCGCCGCGACGCCGGGCGCGTGGCCGCGACGCCAAAACGCGCGTGTCTGCTTGTGTGCGCCATGCCTCGCTCCTGCGGCACCCACCGGTGCCTGCCCGCCACCAGCAGCCGCCTGGAGGTGATCTGCCCGGGCAGCGGGCACTCCTCACACAGGGCCTGCCCGGAGAGGCCCTGGAACCTAGAGGAGGAGCAAATTCCGTACAGTCGGGGCGTTGCCCTAAGGAACCGTAGATAAGGAACGAGGCCCCTTTTTTCCACAAGTGCACCTTCGATTTCCTTTCGAAACATAAGGAAAGCCTGAGGCAAGCTGTGAAACACTTAAGGAACGCGGAGCCCCTCCCCAACGAGAAGGGTTCCTTCTTCAGGTCCCCGGCTGTAAGCGCGAACATTCGGAACTCCGCGCGGATGGTCTTGGATCGGTAAGCGCTGTTAGGTTCTGAGCGGTACACCGGATGTGGTTGCGAGTTCCGCGGGGATGTGATTAGAGGTACGCCGACAAGAAATACGCGTGCGAGCAGTAGTACGAACATCACCAGCCCGACGGAATCTGCAGCACCGCGGCGACGCACGCGTACTGCCAGCGCGACTGGGACTACCAGTACGACTTGGTGCAGCAGCACGACTGGTGCCAACACGACCAGCGACCCAAATTTGTGATTAATCTTGACCCCGGCCTTTTGTTACATCTGGGGATTGGGAACTCCGTGCCGTTGTGGGGGTGACGGCTTTGGGCAAACTTATCTCTACCCATGAGATCGACCAGCCAAAAGGTTATATGATAATCGTACTGTTAGTTACGTCCGCAGCATCAATCAGCATCGAAGACACATGTAAGATAGCAATGTCCTGCCAGGTAGTAATGTTCTGACAAGATAGAAATGTCAATCAGCACGTCCTGTCAGATAGTAAGGCTAAATATGAAGATCAGCATCGAGACGAATGGATGCAAATTCAGCCCAAACCATGGGGAGAGAGATATGCTTCAGGATGCTGTTGGAGGAACCACAGGGTACCGATACCGATGCGCCCCGGACCTCTCCCGGAGTGCGTTCTGACCAGGATTTCGAGGCGAAGCCAACGGTGGCGACGAGGGCCTCCCGGGAGGGCGAAACGGGGAGAACGGGCGAAGGGCAGCGACATGATGGGCACCTCTAGGGAGCCCACAAAGGACGTACGCGCCCAGCTATGTACATGAACACGGCCCCTCGGATTCGCGAGACCGGCCGCGTTATACGAACATTTGTGCAACGCGTGCTCTCGAAACCAGCGTGGATTCATGTACATGTACGTCCTTCTTTCGCTCCTGAACCTCGTCCCCCCCTACGACTCATGCCGATTCCTCTTCGTCGAAGCCTGCCCACGCCGCACGCGCCGCACTCGCTGCGGCCCTCCTCGGCCGCGGAGCGGCCGGCGGCGCAGCCCTCGCAGCTGGAGCCGCCCGGGCCGCCCGAGAAGCGCCCGGCGGGGCAGGCCGTGCAGAGCGCCTGGCCCGTGGCGTCCTGGAACGAGCCCGGCGCGCACTCCTCGCAGAGGGCCATGCCTGCGCCGCCAGGA